TTGTCTCAAACATACTTTTTTTTTTTTTTTTTGAGTTGGAGTCTCACTCTGTCACTCAGACTGGAGTGCAGGAGCATGCTCCTGGCCACCACAGCCTCGACCTGCTGGGCTCCGGCGATCCTTCTGCCTCAGCCTTCCAAGTAGCTGGAACTACAGGTGTGCGCTAGCTACCACGCTCGGCTAATTTTTTGATTTTATCGTAGAGATGAGGTCTCGCCAAGTTGCCCAGGTGGGTCTCGAACCTGCGGGCTCAGGCAATCTACTCACATCAGCCTCCCAAAGTGCGGGATTACAGGCTGAACCACCAAGCTCGGCTTTTGAGTAATCCTTTAGTTCCAGTTTTTAAAATCCCAATATTACAATTTTTACCAGATTGATCAAGGTATTTGTACATTTTTTTGCTCATCATTGTTTCATGAATCTTCTGCTTTTTCCTCTGTTACCAACTCTGTTATCCGAATTTAAAGTGAACTTTTTTTGTTTGAGTCAGTATCTCACTCTGTTGCCCAGGCTGGAGTGCAATGGCATGTTCATGGCCACCGCAGCCTTGACCTGCTGGGCTCAGGTGATCCTTCCGCTTCAGCCTTCCAAGTAGTTGAAACTATAGGTTCACATTACCACACCTGGCTTATTTTTTGGTTTATTGTAGAGACAAGGCCTCGCCAAGTTGCCCAGGCTGGTCTTGAACCCCTGAGCTCAGGCAATCCTCTCACCTCAGCCTCCCAAAGTACTGGGATTACAGACTTGAGCCCCCCCACGCCCGGCCAACTTATTTTATAGTTTATTTTAGATGTCTAGTTTTGGGGTACTAATGATTCCACTAGTTACTTTTGCTGCGTCTTCCTGATTTTCTTCATGTGGTTTCTAGTTTATTGACATTTTAAAAATTTTAATGTGATCTCACAATTTATCGAGGCTGCTTTTTGCTTTAGGAATCCCATATGTCCTGGTCTTTGGGCACATCCCCAGAGAGTAGTTTGCATAAATACTGGAGGCACTGAAAGCATTAGTGATTTTAGCTTGGGCTCCCATACCTGGAATGGCTGAGGCCCAGGCTTTCACATGCTTGCAAATAATCTTCTAGGCTGTCCATTCCTGGACAGGTTCCTTGTCTCTACAGATATGTGCACAGAGTTTTTCCAGTTCCCCTCTCATTTTTAGAAAGGACACTTCTTGGAAATTCAGGGCTTTATGCATAGATTGCAAATTCCATTCCAGCCTCACTCTGCCCACAACAAGCTTGGAGTCACATCTTCTGTTCCCTGGAGAGCATTAAAGCGCTACCATCTTGGAACAGATCTGAACCCCAGACTTTCACGAGCCACCATGAAAGTCAGCTCCCACTTTGATTTCCCTTTATGTTGTGTTTGACTGTAGCAACAAAAAAAATTGTGTGTATGTGTGTTGATACAGTCAGCCCTCTGTATCTGTGGATTCCGCATCCTTGGATTCAACCAATCTCAAATCAGAAATATTCAGGAAAAAAATGAATGAATGCATTTGTACTGCATATGTAGAACTTTTTTCTCATTATTCCCTGAGCAAGACAGTTTAAAAACTATCATCATAACATTTACATTGTATTAGGTATTATAGCTAATCTAGAGATAATTTAAAGTATAAGGGAGGGTATGTATAGGCTACGTGCAAATACACCCTTTATATTAGGCACATCATGAATTTTGCTATCCTGGGTTGAGGGGGGTCCTATGTTGTCAAGCATGTGTTAGATTCATCTTCCATGTTTAAAGAATTCAATCTGCCATGATAGTAGCACTTGTGTTAAACTTTTGATATGTCTATTTTGATATCATTTTAAGCATTTTCAGTATTGTTAAGAATTCAGATTAAATTTGAAAATGCCAAAATATTCATGATCAGTGATTATTCTAACAGAAGAACTCATTGAAAGGAGATTTATATATTTTATACAATTACCAGTTCATTTTAAGATCTAATAGTCTTTTTGGAATAGCAGCAACTTAATTCCATAATATATTTGGGTACATCGACTACCTCAAACAAATAATTTCACATTTATTTTTGTAGAAAATAAACAGTTGTAAAATAGCTGAGAAAACTTAAGTAAGTTTAATGCTGACTCTTAATTTATGGCTAGGAAAGGCAGTGATGTGAGCATAAGTTGTGCTATTTATTAATATATTGCTCTTTATAAATCAGTCTCCTCTTTTATTTATTTATTTTATATAGAAATTTATGGTTGACCTTTTTCCCCCTCAACTAGGTAGAAACAGAAAAGAAAGATGTTCTTGATTTTGGTGACTTGACTTATGGAGGCTGGAAAGGTCTCCCACTAAAACTGCTAAACAGAACACATGCCATCGTGCCAGTCAGACTGATTATTAATGCAGTAAGTACTAATAATACAGTAGGAAACTGTTTACAGACTACGTTGATCTTACGAAGGTGCGTTTTTTTGTTAAGCAATTTAACATTATATTAAGGGCTTTACTAATGCGGCTTCTTCTGTCTCTGAACAGAATGCCGTAGCCTGGCGCCGTTTCACATTTTCCAAGGAACCTGTTGGCGCTTCTGTGAAAGCTGTTCCTTTTGCTGATGTGATTGCTCAGCGGGCAGGATCTTCTGTCACCAATCACATGATGCCTGCCAGTTATGATGGACAGGTAGAAGGGGTTACGGGACTGGTTTAGAATTAAAGAGGAAGTCAGTTTTCCAAACTGCTTTTCTTTCATTAAGATTTCAATCACAATACTGCTCTACATTTACAAGCGTTTTATTTTTAGGATCCAGAGTTTCTGATGATTTGGGTTCTTTTCCATAGTCCAAGGAAACAAATTGGTTCTTCAGGTATGTTTACATTTTGTGAGAATTGCTTTACTCTATAGCTAAATAAACTACCAATTTGATGTTTATTTCCTGTCTTTTAGTGAATAAGAATACTTCATATAATTTGTCAAGTATTTTATGCTGTTTTGGCTCAATTCTATGTAACCTCACCCAGTGCCACAGAAAACCTTCAGGGACATTTCCTCTTAGTTGATCATCTCCTTTATTATGCCTTTCTCTCTACTCATTTGTATTCTTCTTTTTGTTCTTTAAAAAAAATTTTCTTGCTTAATTTTCTTTTTGACCTTAAGGGCATTGTGTTGGGCTGCTGATGGCATTTAACATTAAATAACTCTCTGGTCTCTGAACTAAGAGAATGAACTTTTATAGAAATTTTAGAGTCAGCAGAAGAATTCTTGGCAAGAGTCGATATAGAACTCGACAGCCCAAACCCTACACCCGTTCTTAGAAGTATTGGCCTCCGAGCAAGAGCCGGAATAGCTAGGATACATGCTCCAAGGGACTTGCAGGTACCCTCAACTCTCCTTTGTGCTGTTAGTGTTTTGTATTCAAGTTGATTTCACTTTATTTGTAACAGTTTTTAAAATATCTGTCTTGCCCTATCCTCTAGACGATGCATTTGTTGACCAGTGTGGCTTCCTCAACAAAGCAGCACTTACCTTTGAAAAATGCTGGGAATATTGAAGTATATTTAGATATCAAGGTAAGAATTTTTATCAGAGTGCTATAAAATAGTCTTTCCTCAGATTTTGAGTTCCTCACCTTCTGAAGCCTGCTGTGCTGCCTGCCCTGTCAGAATGCCTTGAGGATCAGATGAAAGAATTGCTGACAGTTTTTAAGACACTGGGTGTTATACCAAGTATGGAATATACTCTGTGGTACTTCAAAGTCTAATGTCTTGAATGTAAGAAACAAGTTCTAGATTCGTTTCTGAAAAATTTGTATGTCACCCAGCAGCTACATAGAATTGGGGAAGAGTGATCTACACGTGTAGACATTATTTCTGAGACCTATAGGTGAGTGAGAGAGTGTTAGTGACTAGGAATTGGGTGAGATGGGAGATAGGTTTGTTATGGAGAAGGAAGAGGAAAAAGGTACTTGATCCAAGAGAATAGATTAAGTTGAGATAGTGATAGACAGGGAGAAAGGCACTTAAGATAAGAGTAACTGAGTGAAAGCCACATTTTTGTAAGTTGGCATTTAATTATGATGATGTAACTATTTAGGTCCCAGAACAAGGAAGTCACTTTTCAGTGAATCCAGAAAATCTCTTCCTTAAACCTGGAGAAGAACATGACGTTATAGTTTCATTTACTCCAAAGGATCCCAAAGCCTGTGAGGAAAGGTAACATAAAAATGCTTGTAAAGCACGTTTTTACTCATATCTCAAAACTTAGATGTGCTCCAAAATCTACAGCAGGAATGATGATGTACATATATTACTTTACTTAATAAATGGTACAGCTCTGCTTAACCTTCTTCGTTTAGCTTCAGTGGTTTTTCTTTTTCTTTTCTTTTTCACCCAGGCTGAAGTATAGTGGCATAGTCATACCTTACTTGAACCCCTGGGCTCAAGTGATCCTCCCTCCTCTGCCTCCTAGAGTAGCTACAAAGGACTTCAGGTGTGTACCACCCACCTGGCTATTTTTTATTTTAATGTTTTGTAGAGATGGAGTCTTGCTGAGTTGCCCAGACTGGCCTTAAACTTCTGACTTCAGCCGGGTGCAATGGCTCAGGTCTGTAATCCCAGAACTTTGAGAGGTCAAGGCAAGAGAATTGCCTGAGCCCAGGGGTTTGAGACCAGCCTGGGCAACTTGGTGAGACTTCGTCTATACAATATATCAAAAAATTAGCTGGGCATGATAGTGCACGCCTGTGGTTCCAGCTACTTGGAAGGCTGAGGCAGAAGGATCGCCTGAGCCCAGCAGGTCAACACTGGGGTGGCCGTGAGCATGCCACTGCACTCCAGCCTGGGCGACAGAGTGAGACTCAAAACAAAAACAAAACAAAACTTATGGCTTCAAGCGATTCTCTCACACTGGCCTCCCAAAGCACTTATATTACAGGTGTGAGCTACTCTTCTTTTTGTTTCTAAAAATGTCCTTTTAACCAGCTGAATTGCAGTTAAGAAATCATTATTTTCAAGTACATTCTGATAAAGTTAGATAGCAAAACATCAGTTTTGGTGTTTCTCACTAACTGTTTCTCTTTCTCCCAGAAGCCATTGGTTGACCTTGTCTGCTGTTAAAATCCTTTTCCCTACCCCTTTTCTAGGCCGATGACTTTTTGGCACCCAGATCATGAGTGAATATCATCTTATAGTCAGAACACCATTATCATTAGTGTTCGAGCTTGCTTGCATAAGCCTAGCTTAAAGTACACTCTCCTAGCCAGGCTCGGTGGCTCAGCCTGTAATCCCGCGCCTTGGGAGGCTGAGGTGAGTGAATTGCCTGAGCCCGTGGGTTCAAGACCCGCCTGGGCAACTTGGTGAGACCTCATCTCTACAATAAAATTAAAAAATTAGCCGGGCGTGGTAGCGTGCGCCTGTAGTTCCAGCTACTTGGAAGGCTGAGGCAGGAGTGCCGGAGCCCAGCAGGTCGAGGCTGCGGTGGCCGGGAACAGCCATTGCACTCCAGTCTGGGCAACAGAGTGAGACTCCAACTCAAAAAAAATAAAAATAAAAATAAAAAAATAAAGTACACTCTCCTGAGATACTCATGGCTTATCCCTCTGCTTGGGTTACAGAATGCTTTCATATGCTCAGTCTACTCTTACGGGCTTTCACAAGAATAGAAGAGTCTGGCCTGCACTAGTCAGAATGTGCTTGGAATGCTTGCCCTCAACTTCCCTCGGCTCACTTCTCCCGGGAAGCTTTCTTTGATTCTTCCCAAACCTCTCATAAAAAGCACCATGACTTCTCATATCCATCCGTGTAGATGGTATTTGTGATCACCATTTTCCTTTTCTGTATTCTGCTCTGAGTATAAGCTCTAAGGGTAGAACTGTTGTCATATTTGCAGCTCCTAGCTCAGTCTTTTGGACAAAAGAAGCACGTAGGAAATAGTTGCCAAAGAATTGAGTACAGGACATTCAATTCAGACTTCTTTTTTTATTAGGATCCTGAAAATATTTGTGCAGCCATTTGGACCTCAGTATGAAGTAGTGTTAAAAGGTGAAGTTATTTCTTCAGGAAGTAAACCTCTGCCACCGAGACCTTGCTGCTCAGATATTCCATTGATTTTGTCCAACAAACAGTTTCTGTCTTGGGGAGGTGTCCCTCTCAGTAGAACACAGTAAGTGTCAAAGACTGACAAATAGTCCACTATTTGTACATGTATTAGAGCAGACCACAGATCAGTGTTTGGAGAAAATTTTTGTCATACACACACTGTTCAGACTAAGTTGTACAGAACTGGAAAAGCCTTCTAGGTAGACGTGTGTGCCCTTATTCAGCCTTTCCCTTTAGCATATATTCCAATTCCAATTCCATTTCAATTGGCTGTGAAAGCCACATGACTCTTTTGACTAAAAGCATACTGAAGAGGGATTATTACCTCAAACTCACTACTACTCAGTATTTTTCAAAGCTCACTGAGAGACATATTTAGAGAGAGCTGCATGAAGAATACTCAGTCATCCATCCTTCAAAGTGATCTAAGTTAGCTCAAACAACCACATGACTTTAGCAAAATTTAGAGAAGTGCTCTCTATACACTGTGCTTAGACCACACTGAGGCACCCAAGGACGAGGGTGCAGCCTAGGAAATGGGATATAGTATTTACTATAACTGTATTATACAGATTTGTCATTAAAAAGACCTATGGAAGAAACATCTCTCCAATGTCTGTGGCAGGAACAGTTGTACTTCATTCAAGCAATAACTAACTTATTCTTAACTTCTGAGCACTATGGTTCATTTAACTAATGGCATGACTACAGAAACGCTCCTCTCTCACTGCCACTTGATAACTCTACTACTTGAAAACAATAACCACAGTTCTTCACAAATTTACTACTACTACTACTACTGATATTAATAATAAAAATAATAGCTTTATAAACTGTCATTTCTTTCCAGTAAGTCTTCCCACTCCTTGTGCCTGTGGAGGGCTTTTCCCAGAGGCACCAATAGCCGAAGATCAGTTTTTCTATTTTAACACAAAGTGGATGAGGCACAGACCACAACTTAAATAACTTGTTAGCTGCTAATCTTACAATTTTGAATAAAATAGAGATTTACTCATGTATTCTCTATTCTCCAATGAAGAGAGGATTCATATGGTTTCAATGACTGAAGTGAATTCTGTCAGTCAGCTGCCATTTATATGTCCATTCTACTTGGATTGTAGCTTTTTAAAAGTAGGCTTAGTTCAGCATACTATTTAATAAAAAGACTACTTCATTACCATGAGCCTCTAAGCCTAGGACCCCTTGCTTCCTTGAAAGCTTGCTTAATTAAGCTAGGTATACCAGTTATGTGTGGTATTAACTTAATGACTTAATTATTTAATTATTAATTATTGTCATTAAGTTAATACCACCCTGTATAAAAATAAGATCCGCTGTAGACCTATAGCTAGAGAAAGATTAAACCAAAAAGCCTCACTGGTAAGGCTAGTCTTGACCCTGCATTTTCAGGAACATGGAGTTCCAGGATCATGGAGAGAGAATTCCAGGTTGCTGAGATGGCCTATGGAATCAGTCCATTTTTAGACATTGTGGTTGGTTTTAATCAGTTTTTTTTTTATAAGTATAGCAATATCCATCTAGGAAAACCATATTTAAAATGTGTAATTTTTTGTAGGCTTCAGAAACTAGTTTTAAGAAACAATTCTACATCTACAGCCCAACATTTACGACTTCTTATTAGAGGACAAGATCAAGACTGCTTTCAGGTTTGTAGAGTGGTCTCTTGTTCTGTCTTCTGTTTCGTCTGGGTCCAGAACACTCGCATATGCATATGCCATTCTGTGTTGTTATCTTTTAAGAGTTTGTATTAATGGCATGTTTTATTTGCACTACTCCTTTGTCTTATGCAATGATTGTTTTTAAATTGTAGCTTCGGAACACTTTTGGTTCAGAAGAACGATTGACTAGTAACTATGAGATCAGAATTCACCCAAAAGAAGACTCTGTCATTTCTGTATTATTTGCACCTACTCGATTGTCCTGTATGTTGGCTAAACTAGAAATCAAGCAACTTGGAAATCGATCACAACCAGGCATTAAGTTCACGGTAAGATAATTTTATTGTTTTTTCCCTCCTCTGGAATTTACGACATACTGTAACTATTGGTTTAATGTTGATAAATTATATGTATTCTGCTTTATAAAATTGAAAATATGTGGTTATCTAGATTTACAAACAAGTTAGGGAGTAGTTATATGCTTTGTAGAATCGTTAAGTTATAAAAGCAGCCAGCATAGTATTCCTATGAGTAACAATCTCTTCTAATGCTCTTAAGTTTCATTTTACTTTGAGAATTTTGAAATGTACTCTACTTTTCAGGAACACATTTTCGGGTACATTTACATAGAGCTGCTCAAGATACTGTCCGAGTAAATTTTATTATTTCAATTTAGCAAAAATATTGTCTTAATCCTTTTAGTCTGCTATACCCAAATACCACAGACTGGGTGATTTATAATAACTGAAATTTTTTGCTCACAGTTCTGGAAGTTGGGAAGTTCAAGATCAAGGCACCAGCAGTTTCAGTGCCTTCTTATTTTGTCCTCACACAGTGGAAGGGACAAAAGTACTGCCTGCAGCCTCTTTCATGAGGGCCTAATCCCACGCATGAGGTCAGAGTCCTCATGATTTAATGACTTCCAAAGGGCCCACCTCCCACCTCTTAGTACTAGCACACTGGGGATTGGGTTTTAACATACGAATTTTGGGGGATACACCAGCAAGATAGTACAGCAAGTATCTATTGACAGAATTTGCAAGACTCTGTTTTCAGATGCTAGGGATACAAGACGAGAGGGGTTTTTTTGTTTGTTTTTGTTTTTTTAATTGTTTACCTTTTTGTTTGTTGATTCCTTTCTGTAATTTTTAAAAAGGATTTTAAGCCATTTATATAGATACATTCAGAGAATTAGAGAGAAAAATGTTAAATCATTGGAGAAAGGAATAAGGGCAAAGTAGTCAAATTAAATTCAAGCTACATAAAAGTGCATACCTTACAACTGCACAGTTTGGTGGTGGGGCTGGGACTAAAATTTTAGTTCTATTTCCTACTGTCAAAGAATGGGATAAATTACAAGATTAGCAATATGTAAAAGAAGTTTAAAAAGTTAGATATTATGGCAAATTTAGCTTTATTTGACACTGGAGCTTGACATGTTTTCTGTGAAGTCACTTGATTGGCCCCATGAACTGTGGTGGGCAATGTTGTTTAAAGATGTAAGTGGTATTTCCACAACCGGCATCCTTTCCTGTGAACCCAGGACACAGTGCCACAGCACTCATGCACAGGGATGCAGCACTCTCTGGTGATCTGGTTTCATGTAAGGATAAAGCTTGATTTGTGGAGGGGACTAAGTGGGCTGTATCTTTCAGATTTCCTGAATATTCTGATTAGATTCTGGTTTACTAGCCAAGATTTTGAGGTTATTCTTAAGGAAGAATCTCTAGAGAAATAATAAATCTCTGATAGGGTAAAACCATTTGATTTGCCAGTCAACCAGTAGAAGTTCGTGCTTGACATTCTCCTGAGACAAACTAGGATCCTAGTGATATTTCTACCTTTGTAGGTGACCACCTCGCCTTCTCACAGAGGTGGGCTGGGTAGGGTTCGCTTGTGGGTCGTAGATGCATGTGACTTATTTCACAGGAAGACTCAGACTATTCACATTGCTAAATCTTTGTAAAGATAAAGTAGCTTGGCAGAGTGGTGGAAAAGCTCTTAACACTAGGGATGAGAGAATCCAGGGAACCTGCCCCATCTCTTGTACTTACACTCATCTTGGATCTGTCACGTCACTGTCTCAATCTGTGAACTGCAGCTGTTTGCTATCCCAGCCTCCCAATTTGATTCTGAGGAACAAATGAAATGATCTGAGCTTTGAATACCATAAAGCATGATGATACTGCAATAAAAATGTATTTATTATTGGTGGCATACTGAGTCTGTGCCAGGCACTACTCTTAATCACTTTGTGGATGCTGTAGTCTGAATGTGTTCCCAAAATTCATGTGTTGCAAACTTACTCCCCAGTGCAGCAGTGATGGGAGGTGGGGTTTTGGGGAGGTGTTTAGGTCATGAGAGTTCTGCACTCATGAATAGATTAATGCCCTTAGAAAGAATTTGAGGGAGGAAGTTTGTCTGGCCCTTGCCCTCTGACACGTGAGGACACAGTGTTCCTCTCCTCTGGAGCACACAGGATTCGAGGCGCAATTTTGGAAGCAGAGAGCAGTCCTCAACAGGTGCCAGCACCATGATCTTGAACATCCAGCCTCCAGAACTCTGAGAATTTATAAATTGCCCAGTTTGTAGTATTCTCTTATAGCAGCAAAGACAGATGAAGATAGTGGATTATCACATTTTCATCTTCAAAACAACCTTCTGAGATAATGCTGCTTTCTTCTTGTGGAAAAAGAGAGATGCATTGGCCATGCATCTTACATGCTAGTCAGTGGTGGGCCCATGTTCAGATTCAGGCTGTCTGAATGTAGATCCCAAATTGTCTGTTGTGTAGTCTCCAGGGTGCTAATAATAGCTCTGTGTTTTGTAGTCATCTAGAACCACGGTTTGCAGCTTGTGTTACCCCCAGGGGACACTTGACAGTGTCTGGAAATGTTTTTCCTTGTTGTAACTGGAAGCAGGATAAGAGTGCTACTGGCACCTCATGGGTAGAGGCCAGGTATGCTACTAAACATCAGAAAAATCACAGGACAGGAAACCCTACCACAAGAAATGATATAGCTCACAATTTCGACAGTGCTGAGATTAAGAGCAGTAGTTTTTCCTGCTTAATGTTTGGAATACTGGTATTAGTCAGATTTGTTTTCTGTAATCATGTGGTTTTTTTAAACCTTTTTCTCAGTAGTAGTTTGTAATTCCTTAGACTTTGAAAACATAGGAAGAATACTTGTGTGTTTTCAGAGTTACCTTTTCCCTATTATTTTCTATTTTGTTTCATACATAAAGTTTACTTGTATGTTTCTGTGGTAAGCAACAAAATTAATATGTTTTGACTGTTAAAACTACCAGAGGTCACTTAAAATGAGGTAGGATATGTGGGAGCTTTAGATCTGAACCCCTTTGAAATGCTATTTATACTAAAAGGCAAGTCAATGCAAACTGATGAGGAGCATAACTTTAATTTTTAAAAATGTTAAAGCATGTAGTACAACTCAAAATAAGTTACTGGTGTTTTCAAGTTTATAAGGGATTCTTTGGAACCTATATTAATACAAGTTGAGTTCCCTAACCCGTACATTTGTAATCCATAATGCTCCAAAATGAGAAACATTTTAAGTGTCAATATGGCATTCAAAGGAAATGTTCATTGAAGCATTTCAGATTTCATACTTTTTTTTTATTAGGAATGGTCAACTGGTATAATGCAACTATTCCAAAATCCAAAACACTTCTGGTCCCAAACATTTTGAATATATTCAATGTGTAATTAGGAATGCAAGGTAATTTTTAAAGATGTGCATTTTAAAGAGAATGGAAAATTTCTAACAGGACAAATATTTTCCTTACCTTCTTATTTATGGAATGTATTCTGTGAGCCCTTGCTCCTGGGAAGGGCTGAGCCTTATGGAAGCAGTAGCAGATGGCATCCCAAAGCCTGGCTCCAGTCTGCTGCTTCCCCCATTGCCAGTATGTCTGTCCTTGAAGAGTTGTTGGAGTCTTTGTCTTCTGTGGAGTCCCTTTTGCGTGCTTCTCTCTGATGATGGCTAAACCAAACACTAAGAGGGTTATATGATAATCAATTCCCCTCCCCCAGCATTTTATTGTGAAGATTTTTTAAATTACTGAGAAGTTGACAGAATGATACAGTAAACACCCATAGGCCCCATCACTGAAATTCTACTTTAACATTTTACTATATTTCTTTTCCCGCATATCTAACTGTCCATTAGTTCATCTTTCTAAAAATGCATTTCAAAATGAATTACGTTACCATATTTTATTCTAAAAGCTTTTAAAGCATATCTATAGTAATCTTTTTATTCTTAGCATATCAGAAGGTATATAGTTTTACAGCTCTTTGGTTTGTTTTTCCCTTAAGACAAAATGTTTCATATACTACTGGACTGGAAATAGAGTAACTACTAGTCAAAGTATACAAACATTAAAATTTTTAATTGTATTAGCTCTTTCTGTATTTTCTTTTGACTATAATTGTCTTTCTGCTTACATAAAAATAATTTTGGATGTATATATTCTTTTAGATACCTTTGTCTGGATATGGAGGAGCAAGTAATCTTATTTTGGAAGGTGTTAAAAAATTATCTGACAGTTACATGGTAACAATGAATGGCTTAATACCAGGCAAAGAAAGTAAAATTATGTTTTCTGTCCGCAACACTGGCTCTCGAGCAGCTTTTGTTAAAGCAGTAGGTTTTAAGGATTCGCAGAAGAAAGTTTTGCTGGATCCTAAAGTATTGAGAATTTTTCCAGATAAATTTGTGCTCAAGGAAAGAACACAAGAAGTAAGTATAAAAGTCTCTGAATGAAAAACATGAGCTTGTTTTTAGATTAAATTAATAATTATGTATTTTATGGTCACGAGCTAAAATAATATTTGAAAATAATGTAGTAGTGGAAGTGCTTACCCGGTCATCTTAGAAATGCCATACATATGCACTTGTGTCTATAGTGAATGCTCATGAAACTGTTTATTTCAAAACGAAATGACTTAAGAAAAATATATACTATTTACTCCTGATTTTTTTTTCTTGGCATCAGGATGTTACTTTAATATATAATCCATCAGACAGAGAGAGCAATTATAAAACTGCAACAGAACTGTCAACTATATACTTCTTTGGTGGAGATGAAATTTCAAGACAGCAGTATCGAAGGTAGATTACCTGTCTTAGACAATAGTGGGAACCATTCAGTGAAATAGTGAAGTCTTCAATGGTTTGGGATTTGGAATTTTTATAACATGTTTTATTATTTATTAATGAGCTAGTAGGTGAAAAATCATGATAGAATTTGTGTGGCTGATAATCCACCATGATGTGAAGGAAAATAACTGTAGGAAACTCATCTGCTATATTCCCTTAGAATGTGCCTTCTTTTCTAGACGTATGTTTACTCTGTAGGAGCATCGTACTTCATCATTGGACTGTATTTTTAATGCACTCTTGAGGATATAACGAGTAACAAGAGATCAATTTCAGAAAAGGTTTAAGAACTGCTGAAAGATTATATTGCATAAACACACCTGCTAATTTGGGATATTTCTGGGAATGCTGTGAATTTGAAGAGATCAAGTTGTATTTTAGAAATGTCTAGGATGTTTAACTTGTAGCTACTTAAAGCATGCACTTCCATAAAATCTGATACATCTAATTTAAATTTAGCTTAAGATGCTGAACTGTTCACAAATGTAGGATATTGATTTGAATTTTAGGTGTGATTTAAACATAAGTTACATTTTTTATGTGTTGAATTCTGGATTCTTTTATTATAAAATTTAATTTGCTAGATTAGAAGACTTGAATATAAGTGAAGCTCATGACATTTCATCTGTTAGTAAGAAGTCATTCAAAATAGGGGCGTAGGTGCATAGGTGAATATACCAGTGTTTACTTCTTCTGACCCTTTGGCTCCTTTGCATTTTATTCTGTTACAGAATTTGGGAAATTGTTTTGTTTTTAATTTATTAAGGGTCATTGGAATGTTTAAAAAGAGGGAATTTGATGATGACTAGCTACATGATGTTAGAGCAGACCAAATGTGAAGAGCTCACCTTTGAACCTGGTTTTGTTTCTTAATTATTTTAGAAATAGAAACTGACATTTGGAGAAATCAGACTTCCAGATACTCTGATATTCTTCTTTCTGCCTCTCAGAAGAGAGTTCCTCTTTGCCGTAAAATTACCGTAATGAGATTTACCTTGTGAAAATCTGAATAGTATAGAGAAATTTATATTTCAATTTTATCACCTCAAAGATTCTCTGGAAGTGACCACATATACATAGTTATGTAGTAAATTAAATATTTTCTTCTGAGTCTTATTTTTTTAGCCCGTCTTTTTTTTTTTCCTGAGACAAATGTCTAGCTCTGACCAAATTATCACAAAAAAACGAAAATGTAAGACCTGAAAGGACTCTAATTTTACTTTTTTTTTGCTCTTATATTAGGAATTCTTGTTTTGATGTTAATATTTAACTGAAATTGATAATTTTACTACCATGTATAACTTTTAAGTGAACTTCCAAAATAGGTTTTCTTTTAGATTTGAGATCTATGTACTAATGTATCATGCTGGTAGTGGGATTTGCCAAATACATTAATGAAAATTTAATGAAAGTAATTTTATATATAAAATCACTTCTGAATAAAAATCTCTCCTGGCAGAGCCCTGTTGCATAAACCAGGGGTTATAAAACAGATACTTCCAGAACATAGTGTACTACAAAACATTACTTTTGCTGAAACATTTCAAGATGAGCTATCAATAACTGAAGGTAAGAATTTCAGCATATCTTTGTGTCTTATATCTTTTGGGTCATTTATAGTATTATCTGTGGCCAGTGATGTGATGTAAGAAGGAAAAGTGTTAGTTTAGATATGATGTCAGGCCATGTTTGAACTATAGCTCTGCTGTATGACTTGGAACAAATTACATCCCTGAAATTCAGTTTCCTTATCTGTAAAATGGGAAGTAAAGTGACACGTAGCTTCTCATCCATAGAGTTATGAGGATCAGATAAAAGAGTTTTGTTATATAATTGTTAAATTTTTAAAATATATTACTGAACTTATTCTCTGAATGGCTTATAAACAGAAAAAGGAGAATGGTCATTATTTTTTTTTTTTTTTTTTCAAGTTAATAGCATCAGTTTAATGTGATATTCCATCATTTTGCTCAGAATAAATCTGCTTACAAAGTGAATAACTATTGAATAATATGGTGCCAATTCTTTTAACTTTGAGATATAATAACCCAATGTTTCCAACACTTGTCTTTTTTTCCTGTAAACTCAAGATACAGAAAGTTGAATTAATTGCATCCTTAAAATCATAGTAAATGCTCATAATTCTTCAGTACAAGACCA